CCCTCAGGTTCCCTGACAACATCAAATGTACTTTCTGTGTCTCTGCACACTCCTTCTGTCTCCTAAGAAGGCTGCTCTTGCTCTGTCCAGCCCCAAAACACCGGTTTTCCCTGGGGTCCCACTGCACCCCTGGAAGCAGCACCTTCAAGCTTTCAGTCACTACCTATGTGTCGCTGACTCCCAAATCCGCCATCTTCTGGCCAAACCTTTCTCCTGAGCTTAAAACAAATATCCAGCCTCCGGCCGGCTGACACCTCCACCTCAAATTTCATCTATCAAAACCTGAAGTCACCTGCACCCTGTAAACCTGCAAATCGCGTCTCCAGTCTCAGATGGTGGCCCCACCCCACCCCACCTCAGTCCTAGCTGGGAGCTGGTCCTGACTTCTCCTTCGGCCCCACGCCCAACCTCCCCCCCCTTCTGGCCCCGTGTCTCTCCAACCACCATCACCCCGGCCAGCTCCACCCCACGTCCCTAGCCCAGTGCTTCTCAGACTGTCTGTGATGACGGACCTGCAGCCATCTATGACCCCCTCTTTGGGCAGCATGCCCTGCATGAGTCCAAGGGCTTAAGAATTAGGCTCCCTGCCCCAGGGTTGGCTCTCTTAAAGCTGTCCTCCTCACAGCCACCAGAGTGACACGTGTAAAACACAAATCAGACCAGGTCCATGCCCTAACAGCTCTCCCTAGTAGTAATTCTCAACCGGGGGCACTTTTAGTAACAATGACTGGAGGTTGCTTCTACATGTACTACCAGGGGCCAGAAATGCTAAATGTCTTAGATATATCTTGAGAAATCTCTCTCAAAATGCCAGTAATGCCCCCTGAGAAAGGCCTGAGAAAGAACACAGATCCTCGGGGGTCAGGTCGCTACCTGAGTTTCCAGGCTGGCCGCCCACATCACCCTCCTCCCCCTCTACACTCATCCCAGAACAGCACGAAGTGCCCACACACACCCCATGCTTCTGCTTGTCACCTGGCTGGTTTTACCTGGCTGTCTACCTAGAAAGCCCTCCCTTGCTCCCAGGACTCCCCTCAACCTAGCTAGTACCTAATTTTTTATTTAATTTTTTTATTGTACTGTGGTAAGAACACTTAACATGAGCTCTAGCCTGTTAACAAATTTTAAGTGCGCAATATAGTACTGTTGACTGCAGGCACAATTTTGTAAAGCAGATTTCTACAGCTTATGCATCTTACTTAACTAAAACTATAACTCTTCATTTCCCCTCCCCCAGCTCCTAGTAAACACCCTTCTAGTCTTTGACTCCGTGAATCTGACCATTTTAGATACCTCACGTAAGTGGAATCATGCAGTACTTGTCTTGCAGTGTCTGCACTTCCATCTTGCTTTAAAATTGCCCGTTTATGGGCCTGTCTCCATTCCTGGACTGTGGGCTCTTCAAGTGCAAGGACTCTGCCTTGCTGATCTTTGTATGCCCAGTTCTGTGCCCACAGTAGCTCTGTAAATACTGAATGAATGAATGAGAGGTTCATATATAAATTCTTCTATAGACTAGGTGAGTCCTTGATGCGTAAACAAAATCCTGACTTCAACAGAGATGCCAATTTGTCTCCCAGTCTCCATTCCTACTTTCTTCCTTTTAGTGATTAGAACTCCTTGAGTTTGGGCTGGGTCCAAGGCCACCCAATTAAATAGTACCTTTCCCAGACAAGGTCTGCCCACACGATTATGTTCTGGATAATGGGAATGTAGGGGGAAACGACCTGTGCAACTTCAAGGTCACATCCTTAAAAGGAAGCTGCTTGTCCTCCACACACTGGAACGCAGACGTAACGGTGGTAAGCCAGCTGCAACCAGGCAGAAGACAAGACACCTTGGCCTCGTGTCAAGACACTAGACGGAAGGAACCTGGAGCAGAGCTGCCTATCCCCGGCCTGCCTACCAACAGACTGTGAGGGAAAGTAAATCTCCATCTTACTTAAGTCATTGTTAGGTCGTCTGTGTTAAAGCCATCAAGTGAATTTTCTGGCTGTTTTCCATATTGCCTCTCAGAGATTCACTTAATCCCGAGATCATATTTTCCTAGCACCAACTCATACTCAACCTTTTTTCTGCTCTTCTCCCTAAACTTTATGGTTTCACTGAGAGAAGTAAAATAAGAGGGGTTGACCATTATCAATCTAAGAATTAACAAAAATTTTTAAAAATAGATAAAACAATTTATTTAAATAAATTTTAATTTTTTCAATTTCTTCTGGATTCAATTCAACTGCCACATGTTAAATACCCACTATGTTTAAGGTGCTATGGAGGAATCAAACGCAGAATAAGCTGAAGTGTTCGCCTTCAAAGAGATTTAGTACAGTGTGTGTGTGTGTGTGTGTGTATGTGTGTGGTCAAAGATGACTATGCTATAAGAGAAATAAAAAGAAACTTCTATTACAATAGAAAAGAGAGTAAGGAAAAAATGAGATAATGAATTTCAGGGAGTCAGTTCAATCAATATTCAGATGACTCAGGCTCAGTACATGCAGAGCACTGTGCTTGGTTCTAAGGAATCAAAAACTAACAAGACACATTCTCAGCTCTCAAAATTTATAAAAGAGACAGAGACGTCACGAATAATTAATAGAAAGTGAAAACAAAAACAGTTTGTGCAAGACACAGAAGTGAAACCAAAGAGGAAGTGATTTATCACTGTGAGTCAAGAAAGTGCACAGAAAGGCTTCCTGGGGATACAGGAGCTCGTCAAGAAGACAAGAGTCAACATGTGCAAAGCCACAGAGGCATGGCATGGCATGGCAAGGTGATCCCAGGAAAGGTAAGAAGTTTGAAATGACTGGCAAATAACATGCAAGGAGCTGAGTAGTGGGAAATGAAGCTGGGATCCAGAAACAGGGACTTTAGTTAACAAGCTCTGGGCCAACTGCCTCAGCAAAAGGTAATAAGTGTTGGAGGTTCCCACTGCTCTGTGGGATCCACACCCTCTCAGCTGCCTGCCAGTGTGCCTCAATTCCTGAGAGACACAGAGAATCTCCAACCAACACACATTCTCCGTTCCGAAATATGAGACTGCCAAGCTCAGCCTAGATGGGAACTTGTAACCATCCTCCCCCAGAGCCCAAAGCCAGTTTTAAGCATCCAGTGGTCCCACACCCGGGCCCTGTGGTCTTCAGAGCCCCAGGGCCTCCAGAAGAAGCAGGTACACCCAGCCCCTAGCAGCACCCTCCCAAGTCTTGTTCTTCCTAAGGGGAAAGAAAAGGGAACATTTTATAATTTATATTGCTTCTCACCAAAAGGTACCCACATGCCTTAGGCCCACCATAAACCAAGTCCTAGGACCACTGTCCTTGGAAGCTACTCTTCCCAGATGAGTGAAGGGGGAAAGGTAGGTAGAGAGCCAGTGGTGAGCACCCATTTACACAAAAACAGACCAAAAAAAAAGGAGTGGACAAATAATGGAGGAAATATGGGGGTATACTCAATCAACTGGCCTTGGTTGGCAAAGGATGTAATTACCCACATTAATGACAAAGACTATTAGTATGGATTAAATGGGGAAGATATATAAGCTAAAACACAGGAATCTGCCTCTACAAGATGGAAGCTATTTCTGGGAGCAGGGACACATGTGGTACATAGGGATACACGTGCTCTTAATTTGTATATGAGTAAAGGCTACATAACTCTGTCCTGAGGTCATCACTGATTACACAATTTGGGGTCACTGCCAAGGCTTGATTGAGCTAAATTCCATTAAAGCTGCCTGGACCCAGCTCAGGGATTATTCCAGCTACTGGTTCCCCCTCCTCCCTGCAGTGGCCGGCACTAGCCACTCCACTAGGGCGTCCACCAGAGCACATGGAAGAAGCCCAGCCAGTCAAGTTGCTGCACTTCTGCCTCTCTGATGAAATCAGAAAAGGTTTAGTAGAAGAAAATCTCTAAAAGTTGAGTTTCCAAACAAAGAAGTTTAAACTCATCAAGCTGCTCCTATCTCCAATAACAAAAAAAACAATCTGTCTATAGCATGAAATTCTTTCCTCTCCCGTGAGAAGGTATAATGCTCCAAGGAGGGAAACCAAGGATCTGTCCTTGCAGGGATGCAGGGAGGCTGGACGAACTTATATGTAAAGCATTTAAAGATTAAGCACAGTAAACCATATCCTCAGCAGTGTCACAGCCTTGAACCATTAAGGCTGCTATTTTCCCCACTGATATTTCCAACCCTTATTTCCCAGCACCCACCAACAGAAAGAAAGCAATCTGTCAAACACACACATCTTTTGTCAAAGAATTCTTGCTGAGAATCAAGAGATGGCATTTATCTACAGACAAGCACTTCTGTCTTGAAGGTCACAGCAACGTAGTGTAGCAGGCTTGGAGGAATTTTTTTTGCTTAGCTAAAGAATTAAGCACCTACATGGCAGTACAAGAAGGCAGATCTTTCTTTGCCCCAAACCTCCAGCATTATTCAGAACAGCTTTAGATTCAGTTCATACCTATTTTAAACATTATTAAAATGTATCTCTGTGTGTCAATCTTTCTCTCCATAATCCTCAGATATTACATTATAAATCAAATAAAAAGTTCAATTAATGATATCCAATTAAAAAAACAGATTAAGAGACTCATAGAGGAAGCACTGCACTAAGGTTAATGAAAATGTTATTTCAACATGAAAACTGCCTTAGAACTTGTTACCAAAATTTTGAACATTAATTATCCCTGCTATTTTAAGGCCAGTCTTTAAAAAGTTATTTCCTCTACTTCCTTTTATCATACTTTATTACAAAACCATGATAGTCCTACACAATTTTATAATTCTCATAAAATATATATATAATAATTTAGAATATGATGCTTTGAACATTAGGAACAAACTGGAGAATTTAAATAATAGTTAATATTAAATCAGCAAACAAGTCAGAAGAGTTATTCTCATCTAAATAAAACTGATTCTCTATAGACCAAGTGCTTTAGAAAATATAAATGTATTAAGAAATAATTAGCAGACATCTCAAGCCACTCTTACATACCTGTGTAAGATCTGCAGCTTGCTTTAAGATGTTTTTCTTTAATTGTTCTGCTCTCTTCGCATGAAAAGAATTACTTTGACTCTGGATGACAAATACAATTCCTTTTAAATCTAGAACCAAAAAAAAAAGTTGTCAGGTGTTTATTTTTTAACAACTGAAATAAACTTGAAAACAAGTAAAAAAAAGAAAAACCAGCCACAAGGCAAGCCTTCAGGCAATAAACTCAGAAGAAAAATCAATTTATATGTAATTCTAGTGACAAAATCTCTATTTTTAAACTGATCTCCGAAACTTCTTTCCTCGAAGTCAGCAAGCAAATAAGCTCGCTGTACTAGGTCAAGTCTGTGGTAACAACCGTGAATTGGCTCTTCCGTCTGTCAAAAAGATTGTGAATGTGAATGTGCAAAAGGAGGAAAATGTCTAGAACACTAACCTCTCTAGAGCTGCAATTCCAATGTTTGCAAGGTCTTTTAACAATTCACACATAATCCTACATCGTGCTGTTACCTGTTATGGGTTGAACAGTGTCCCCCAAACTTCACATGTTGAAGTCCTAACCCCCAGTACCTCAGAAGGTGACCTTACGTGGGGAATCGGGTCTTTACCGAGGTAATCCACTTAAAGCGAGGTCATTAGTGTAGGTCCTAATCCAATATAGTTGGTGTCCTTATAAAAAGAGGAAATTTGGACAGAGACAGAGAAGGAGGATGATGTGAGCACACAGGGAGAAGACAGCCATGAACAAGCCAAGGAGAGAGGCCTCAGAAGAAACCAACCCTGCCGACACTTTGTCCTTAGACTTCCAGTCTCCAGAACTCTGAGAAAAATTTCTGTTGTTTAAGCCACACGATTTGTGGCACTTTGTTTCAGCAGCCTGAGCAAACTAGTACACTACCTCAAGAACGTTCTGGATGGCCCTTTAAGGTGATACTTAACAGTGACTGCATATGTCTCATGAGGTCCCAAGAGCTGGCAAATAAATAATTCAATAATCCCTGCCCTACCTCACAAGGCACCTAGCCAGAATTAAGTGTTATCTCCAAGAAAACAGCCACAACTCCACAGCAGCAGGCCTTCAGCAAGAAATCTTGCATCAAAGCCCGTCCACAACACTGGCGGCATTTGCCAGCCCGCTAGAGACTCACTTCAAGGCAGCCAGCTTTTTAACAAGGGCTAGCAGGGAGGAAACCCTAGCACGTCATGTCCACCTGACCAGGGTAGATGATCCGAGGTCTTACCAGTGCGGGTGGCTGCTCAGGCCCCACACTGAAGAGGAACATCAGGCCTTCCCAGGTTCTGAGCTTGTAATAAAGAAACAGAAAGAGCCATTGTGTCAGGACCCTGCCACACACAGGTGTGTTGGCAGAAGGCAGATGTCACATAAAATTGTAGCCTCCAGCTAGGTTTACAGCAAATGAACGTGGGGACCATGAGCTTTTCCCTTTAACACCTCGACTCAGGGACACTAATTTGATTTTAATTTTATTCCATTATATTTTATTGTTCTTATGTTCAGTTCTATACTTCCACTCATTTATTCATTCACTCAAATATTCATACAACAAATAGCTCCACAGTGAGCCATCTAGATCCCAAAAATAATCCAAAATGCTCTTTGGTTCAAACTCAATAAAAAATTTAAAAGGAAATGCTGAACAACCTACTGAATATGACCTAATTCCTTTTCTGTAGGAGTTTATATAAATATGAACGTTCCACATACCTATCACCATTTTAAATCAGCTTCTTGGCTCTATAAATCGACACTCAGATAAGGCTTAAGCGGGTGTGTTATATTTCAACTGAAATGTAATCTTCAATCCACTACATCTGAAACATTAACATAACTGACATATCAAAAGAGGAGTTATAAAGATTTATTTTTGTTAAGAATGGAGTAAATAAATCCCAGAGAATATTTTTTGCAAAATTTAATAAAATTCAAGATGCACGTTCCCAATGACCCAGAAATTCTATTCCTATTATCCTTGAGAATCTCTCATATGTGTGTACAAGGATATATAACAAGAGTGCTCACAGCAGCATTGTGTAAAAAGAAAAAATTAGAAGCAACCCAAATACCTACTAACAAGATATACAAATTGGAATACTATAAAGAAATAAAAATTATAACACAACATGTATATCCAGATGGATATCGTAAATGAATCCTTAGATAGAACACTGAAAAAAAGCAAGCTGCAAAGGAACAACTACATAAATCAATGGTTTGCAAAAATATAAACACAAATATATATCAAATGGATAAAGACTATACATATGCATGTATATATATTATATATGATGTGAAGTATAAAAGATTACATGAGAATGATAAACACCAAAGCAAGGAAATGATTAAAAGGCCTCAGCTGTGTTAGTAATGTTTTATTTCTTAAGCTAGGTGGTAGATACATGGATGTTCATTATATTACTTTTTATAGCTTCCCGTTATGTTCAAAATAATTCATAATAAAATTTTTTTCAAGAGCAGATCCATCTCTCAAAAGGTTAATCCTGCAGTAACCAACTCCCGCCACTTCTCCCAGATCAGCAAAGCTCCCACCGTTCTCACAAAGACAACAATTCTTCCACAAAGGGCAGAGGCTTTACAAGAAGAAAAAAAGTGTCTTCTTCCCCTTTTCATATACTTGAGTCATGTGCTGAGTTGTATTTGCTTCTTCTGCTACCAAGAAATCACCACCTTCCTTTCTCACATGCTTCGATTATGCATGCTACGTGCACTCATTCAGCAAACATCTGAGTCTCTACTAAGCGCAAGGCTCTGGGATACAGCGATGAGCAAGCGCAGGCCCCACACATAAGTGCCTGAGTCTAGTTCAGAAGGCGGACAGTACAACACAAAGCAGCAGGTGTAAATCCAGGGCCAAGCGCAGGGACCGTGGGAGCACAGCGGAGGGGGAGCAGGAGCAAGGAGGACTTCTGGGAGGGGGTGTTTCCTGAGTTTCCTCTAAAGGCAGCAGTTTTCTGCAGACTCAGGCACAGAAGGTAGCAGATCAGCAGCAGAGATAGAAGCGGGGTTATCACAGAGCCCACAGCCTGCCTCATCTCTGCAGCATCCCTGAGTAGGTGACCAGGGAGTCTGTCAGGCATTTCTGAGAGAAGGATGAAGGGAACAGTCAGCGATAAAGTTAGAAAGGGAGGAGGGGTCAGCCCAGCCAGATCACGAAGGATTTATACACCACCCTAAGAGGCTGGATCTGTAGACTAATAGCTTTCAAATTGGGGAAGGGCCTCAGAGCCACCTGATGCCCCAGAGAGTGGAGCCTTCCCAGAGGAAGTGATGAGGACATTGCGTCCTGGGGACACTCAGAGAAAGGGTGGGAGGACCTTCCCAACAGAGGGAGCAGTGAAGGTTTGGGACAGCAAGTGGAATTCAGGGCTGTGAAAATATGAACAGTTAGGTATGGCTAAGGAATAGGATGCATATGGGGGAGTCACTGGGTGACTGGGTGATGAGACAAAAGAGGAAGGGTGCACCCAGTTCCTATAACCCTGATAATAATGAAAGAAAATTATTTACATGCCATTCAGCCCCACCTCCACTCCAGAAAAGAACCCGATTAGTTCAGTTTGGTGCTGAAAACAGCTTATGTGCTTAAATTCCTGCTGTTCTTTATATCAGCACCAGGAAGTATTCCCTGACATACATCCTAAGCCCTCCCTAACTGAATCAATCCTGGCTGAGTCTAGACCTCACCTTGGTGGCTGTCTTCTGTCTATGCTGTCCAACCACCTGACTTCTAAGCCCCCAGTGGCCCGTCAATGGAGCTAAAGAAGATGACTGCACTATTTCCTTATCACTCAGGTTGAATGTCTCTAAACTCACAGCAATTTGCCTTCGGCAAACACTGTCACAACTCAAGACAGATTGTCATTGTTTCTCCTCTAGGAATGTGAGATAAATGGGTCGTACACCAAGCGCCTGACAATAATGATGAGCATGACAGGCTAGAAAGTGAAGATAAAGAAATTAGCCAAGGATACAGAGAGGATCGATGCGGTTCTGAGGCCAGCGGTAAGGAAAGGCAGTCGAACCAGAGATGGTTAGAAAAGGATCCTGGAGAAGAAATAATTCTTTCTTGAAGGTAAAGGAAATCGAAGGTTCTCTGTTTCCTCAGTTGCTGAGCACTTACCATGTGCCAAACATGCTACTAAGCGCTAAGCTTTCCTGGTCAGAAATGATCTGGAAACATGGATTTCATCATGCTGGTGTTTTTCTGATGAGAAATCAATATGGTGCTCTTCTGATAAAAACTGAGTAACAGGCAGTCTTATGACTGAGGCTGAGGGGTAAATATGCATATATACACACATACATGAAGAGTCACTCCAAATATGTTTTACTTGGTGAGAATAATTGTCACTAGTGAATCTATTGCTTAGGCAGTGAGCCCAAAGAGAAACAAAGGCTGCCTCGCCCTTGGAGGTTGTCACCCAGCCCTGAGTATTGTGAGACCAGGATCTAGGCAGATTCTACTGGGGCAGCTGCTCTAAAGCCCCCCTCCCCTGGTCCTTTAGAATCATATTAAGATTATGGCAAATAAGCTTCCTGGGTCTTTTTCAGGCGAACTGATTCCAAGTTAAGTAACACTAGATTGTCCATTTGCAATTGAAAGAATGCAGATTTATTCATTCAGGTAAACTTCCCCTTGGTACTTTCAAGCCTATGTCCCAGACTAGGGTCATTAGTTCATTTAATAACCATTTACTAGGGAGGGGGACCCATCAGCTCCCATAAAATAAACACACAAACAAATGCCCAAACTCACAAGGGTTGGCAGCAGAGAGAAAATCTCCACGTGGGGAGTGGCTGAGCCATACGGTGTGTCGTAATATACAGAAGAAAAAGCAAGGAACCCATGTGGCTCCTTAAATACAGCTGCTCTCAGAGCCTGAAGACTCCAACCCATGACCCTACGGTCCCCAGCACACGCCATCCTCCCCCTACCACCCGATGGGGGCTCTCCTGCCTTCTAGACTCCTCAGAATCCAGGCCCAGGAAAGGAAGGCCTAGAAAGGAAAGTCTGCCTTTCCCCTCCTGTCCAAGGCCCACCTTCCAGGTCTCCAGGGCCTACCTGGGATGACTGATGCTGACAAGGTTCACACCTATTGGGAAGAGATCCAACACACAGAGGTACGGCCTTACCCTCCCATCAACACACTGCAGCATATTTCCCATGGAATACAAAAAAAGACTAACTCACGGTCACTTCCCTGAAGATGCTTACAATACTATACTGGAGGGAGAAAGATGTGTTTAAAAGAGTGTGCAAATAAGGGTGTATACGGGCTGTGACAGAAGTATGGTGTGTCTGCAAGAAGCGAGGAGCCGCTTCCACACCAGAGTTCTCGGGTCAAGTTTGAGAGAAGACGTGATTGGTAAGCTGACCTGAAGGGAAAGTGGTGTCTGAGGGTCAACAAGTGCGGAACCTGGCTCCAGGCCAAGGAGAGCATGAGCAAAGTTCCTTGTCTCCCACTAAGTGTGAGCCCCTAATAACAGAGACTATGTCTTATTCATCTCTGTAGCCCCCACAGTATCCACCTGGCACAGTAATCAGTCCTTATTGGTAACTCAATAAATTATGGCCAAGGGAATGAAATCCAACAAATTAGCTGTTACTCCCAATCGCATGCCAATAACGTCAATCTGAAAAGTGTTCTCCTCAGGTCTTCATGAGGGTCAACACTGGCCTGGGCCAAACACAGAGTATTTGGACAACAATATTTACCCCATGAATAAAATCAGAAAGAAAAATCACTTCACTGAAATAAAATTTACAAGAAATACACTTGGGTACATACTCAAGTTAAAAAAAAATCATTACTTACCTATGTCATTTTTCCTTGATATACCACTTTTCTCCAAATTCTGTATTTTAAATAAAAGAGAAAAAAATAAATCTCATCACCATAACGAAGTAGCAAGACACCAAATAAATACGCATAGTACATAGTAACACTTTGGGGAAAGACACTGAAGATGAGAGCTTGGAAATGCTTCCCTAAAGAAAGAGACCAAAACCTAAGGGGAAAAAAGCAGCAATGATGTACTTCTGTGTCGTGACAGAAGCTTCCTATGGGGCTGTCCCTTTCTTATGTGACCTTGGGCAAATCACCTCATTGAACTGAGGTTCTTTCCTCCTGTATAAAATGGAGCTAACACTTAACTGGTTCATAATGTTCTCGTGAGGGTTAATTTAAAAACCTTGTATACTCTAAAGTGTGACAAACATATCAGAGACAGTATCAGTTCTAGTAGTGCGTTCCTCTTGAAGATGAGCTCCACTAATTACTGTATTTACAATCTTGTGAGCTCAGACATACCGCCATCAAGAATGTTACCACAGTGTTCTCTCCCACCTGAGAAGCAGCACTGGAGGCCGAAACAGGACCCCAGAGGTGGTCAGCCCAAGGTTCACGAGAATTCATGAGCACACAAGGGGCATCTTAGAGGTGCAGAGCTCCAGACTCAGTAAATCAGGGGAGGAGTTCTTAAAAAATTTCTCTGATTGGGGCCAGCCCAGTGGCGCAAGCAGTTAAGTGCACGCGCTCCGCGGTGGCAGCCCGGGGTTCGCTGGTTCGGATCCCGGGCGCGCACCGACACACTGCTTGGCAAGCCATGCTGTGGTGGCGTCCCATATAAAGTGGAGGAAGGTGGGCACGGTGGGATGTTAGCCCAGGGCCAGTCTTCCTCAGCAAAAAAAAAGAAAAAAAAAAAAAGAGGAGGATTGGCAGATGTTAGCACAGGGCTGATCTTCCTCACACACACACACACACACACACACACACACACAATTTCTCTGACAAAGTGCAAAGTGTCAGCAGCTAAACCTGCCATTTTCATTGTCCTCTCCAGCAGACAAGGAAGGAATTTTCTCTTTACTTGCCCTTTTCCACTTTCAAGTGTCATATGCTACATTATGACACTTGGACAGTGGCAAATATCCTTCCATTTTCTTCAGAGACTACAACAAGAAATACAGTTGTGAGCCCTTACCAACAAAACCGGGAACAGCTTAAAAGCCAAGATACAGCCACACAGAGATATATCCTCTTAGAATGCCAAAGGGACCATGACAACAGACAGGGAGGAGAGAGAGCAACACACAGGGGAGTGTCTACCTTTGGTAGCATTTTCTGAATTATCCTCGTCTCAAGAATAGAAATACTATTGAGTCAAGAAGAACCCCACAGTTATGTACTGATTGTTACACCTCGGCATCAAATGACACTTAATCCTGACAAAACACGTACTTTTTGGAAGAGCCCACTAAAACAGACTAGAAATCTCAAGCCACTCCTCTAAATGTGCTGGACGAAAGCCAGCTTATCGTCACAAGTTAGTGTGTGTGGATCACTGCACCTTCCATACTCTAAATGCCAATCTTGGCCAGGAGAACAGCCTGCTCTCGGGGAAGGAGTGCTGCCCTTGGATCCAGAGGTGCCGCCTGGTTTCCACTGTTAACCTGCAGCCCGCCCCTTGGCCGAGCTGCCTTCTCCTTGCCAGGCCACAGCTTTGGCTGCCAGATGAGGATCATGGAAAATTAGAAATTTTAGATCTAGGGGCTAGCCTAGTGGCGTAGTGGTTAAGTTCAGTGTGCTCAGCTCAGCAGCACAGGGTTCACGTGTTTGGATCCCGGGGGGCGGGGGGGCCTACACCACTCATCAAACCATGCTGTGGTGGTGACCCACATACAAAATAGAGTAAGATTGGCACAGATGTTAGCTCAGGGCCAATTTTCCTCACCAAAAAAATAACAAAAATAATTAAAAAACAAAAAAGTGTTTCTTTAAAAAAAAAGAAATTTTAGATCTAAAAATAGCATTGGACTGGATAAAGAAAATGTGGTATATAAAAACAATGAAATATTATTGAACCTCAAAAATGAAGGAAATTCTGACACATGCTACAACATGAATAAACCTTGAGGCATTAGCTAAGTAAAATAAGCCAGTCACAAAAAAAAAGGATGCTGTATGATTCCACTTGTAAGAGGTACTTAAGAGTAGTGAAATTCACAGAAACAGAAAGTAGAATGCAGGTTGCCAGGCGTTGGGGGAATAGGGAGAATGGGGAGTTGTTTAATGAGGACAGAGTTTTACTTTTGCGAGATGAAAAGAGTTCTGGAGACTGCTTGCACAACAATATGAATATACTTAACACTACTGAACTGTATACTTAAAATGGTTAAGATGGTAAATTTTATGTTATATGTATTTTACCACAATTTAAAAAAAAAAAACAGCATTAGAGATGATCCAATCCAACACTCCCCTTTCACAAAGGAGACAACAGAGACTCAGAAAAAGCTCAGGGATTTGCCCAATATCCAAGTCATTCTAGCCACAGAACCAGGATTAAAATCTAGGTCTTCTGATTTCTTTCCAATGTTCTTTTCTTACACTCCCATGATAACGCATGCCCACTCTTCTTCCAAAGACATTCTTCAGAAAATGGGCACCATTAGACCTAAACATGTTTTGAGAGTAAGCTAAAAGTAATACCTACAACAAAAGTCACCTTGATCAATAAGCTGAAAGATAAAAAATATCCTGAAGTCAGTGTTTCCAGACTGAGCAACTTAAACAAGCTGGAATAGCACTGGAACTTTCCAACAGCTATCTTTGTGAAACCAAGGAAAATCAACCAAAATTATACATCTTTCTATTTGTTATTAAGCACTGCAGCTCCAACTGGCTTACACAATAGCTAGGAAATGATTAGCCATTTCAAATGGCTCAATTTGTAAACTGTAAAAATAAAATATGCAAGGAATGGTTGAATTAAGTGAACTGAAACAGAACCAAAATGGTCGAGTGATTTCCCCTTTGAGAAAGAAAATTAGACTAAATGAACAAATTGACAGAACATTTAAAATTCTGTCTCCAGCTTCCCTCACGAAAAGGCTTAGTTCTTCCTAAGAAGAAAGAAACACATGGTTTGTTCTATTATCTCTGCTGCCGCATGTTTCTTACACCGACTATCAATACCAATCAAAATGTGCTCACTGTCAAAGTTTTATAGTCAGCTGGATTCCTATTCCGATGGGAAAGAGATTTGTTCCTAATGCCCCACCCCACAGGCAGCTCCCACCCCAGCCAGCAAAAGACAAATCCAGGGCACCCTTCTGTACAGGTTTATTGATTAAGGCATGATAGATATGAGTACGGGCACTCCATATACGCAATGCTTAGTTTACAAATTACTCATGACAAGAAGATAAAACATCCTCAAAAGAATAAGAAATCTTTAAGAAGAAAGAGAAGTAAAATGGCATCTTTTACCCAGTCACCAATACACACCCACAGGGTTTTGAAGAAAATGACACAAGCAGGGCCTGCTCCTCAGAGCACCTGGTTACAAGCCACTCCCGTGCTCTAATTCCACCCTCACCACCTACTAGCTCAGGCCCCAGTTTCTCATCTGAAACACAGGAATAATAGTTACAAGACGCCTGCACAGGGCTGTCGTGAGAGTTTAATTAGACAATATAATGCTGAGCGTAGCGCCTGCCCAAAGCAAATGCTCCGTAATTGTTGGCTCCTACTCTTGTCATCATCACCTACTTCACGTGAAGTCAACCGCCCCCAAAACTGACAGAAGCAGTGAGGGCTATGGCTCCTCTTTTTATTTCATTTGTTTAGGTTCCTCCTGAAGGCTGCATAAGACACTTCCCACTGTCATATCAGGTAGACATTTAAACAGGGCCTGGCACTGTTCTAAGTGGTGGACACACACATTTAATCTTCAAAACAGCTTTCTGAGACAGGTCCTATTCCCCATCTTACAGATGAGGAGGCTGAGGCACGGCAAGGATCAGCGAGTCTGCAGCAGGCAGTGGCGGAGAAGGCGTGTGAACCTCGGCAGTCTGGCTCCAGGGTCCAGCCCTAACCCTCTGCCATACAGGACACGGTATCACAGCCACCACAGGACGTAAGGCCAGGCAAAACTGCTGTGTGCAGACAGGTCCACGGCCATGGCCGAGGAAGCACCCGGGCTGGAGCACGAGCCTGGGTGGCAGGCTCCCCTGCAAGCCGGGGCAGGTCAGAATCCAGGGCAGTGCGGGGACCAGGAGCCCAGCAGAGGAGCCAGGGCCCAGAGGTCCGGCTGTAGGCAGTACGTCGGGCGCTGGCAGCACTCAGGATTTTGATGTGAAGCCAAATCTGATGCCAACCAGTGAATCTGAACATCATTTGGGAAAGGCCCCCAGCCCTAAGAAGGGCTGGCCTGTCTTCTAAAGAGAGCCCTGCCTGGGCACCTGACTACAGCAAGCAGTGAGGTAAGGCGGGCAGGAGGTGGCTGCTTCTAAGCCGTAATGACAGGGCAGATCCTGATCATTTCTGCTGAGAGTGATAAACCAATGATAATCCCAAATTAGCGTGGTTTTGTTAAGAGCCTTAACTCCTATCTCTGGGTTCATCTACAGACTTGGGACGACCTTGGACAAATGGATTCTGTTCTATCTCCCAGTCGCAGGTATGGTCCATAGCAGGTATTTTATCACTGCTTCTCCTCACGGGATTAAGAGCTTTTTTGGCTTTGTGGCCTAAGCACAGATGGAGTTCATGACATTTTGCACGAAAAATGACACTAAGATATAGGACTCATCTTACCTCTATTTATATTTATGCATGTATTTAAAGCAAAGAATACATATAGTTCCTCAACTGAAAAGATTAGTTAAAACCTGTATTTGAAAGTATATGCTATAATTTCTAAATTCATTACACAAAATTTTAATTCCCTCTTAATAACCTTTAGGTAGCACTCAAATTCATTAAAAATGAGCCCCATTATTGCTAAACACACACATGTTATGATGCATGTGGCTGTGTAATATAAAACTACAGTGTGAAAAATTCAAGGATCTAGAAAATTTGGATTCTGACTTCACCTTTTAATAGTCACGTGACCTCGGTCAAATCATTTAACTTCTCTGAGGGTAAACTTTCTTTGCTAATCATGGGAATATCTGCTTTGCTTAGCAGTAACAGGATCGTTGAGAAGATCAAATTAAATGAAATGTCTGAAAATGCTTCATTAACCATAAAGGATCTCAAACCATAAGGAATTATTATTATCATTTCCCCTGTGTAGAAATCCCATAGTATAGTTAGAACAGATAATACTCTGTTGATAAAAGAAACATTCTGTTAAAAAATGCTTTTACACTAATTGTGAGGTAAAAATAGAGTCAACTGAGCCTTAATTTACATGACAAAAACATCTCATATTTTAAAAATATTGTTTCTTTCTCAGATGCTAAACTGATCTAGTGCAAAGCTCAAATGGTAAAATTTAGATGAGGTTCTTGAACGCAACCAATGATGAAAAAGAGGCAGCTCTGAGGTCTGAATACGTGCTGTCCCCTCTCCATCGAGAGAAACCCGGGGCTCAGTTTCTGGTTCTGACTGCACAAGGAGCCTGGCAGTCACCTCTGGGGTCTCTCAGCCAGTCCCTAGCACACCCACTCACACAGTGCCACCTTCAAGGTGAGGGATACTCCAGCTCTTGCAACCCTGGAGACATAGCATATCATTCCTTTACAGACTGAGAAAATTAAGCCCAAGATTAAGATGTGGTAAGAGTGGAGAAAATCATGGTATTCAAGCAAGACTTCTGAAATGTCTAACTCTATACTAAAACACCTTTTTTCTTAAAATGAAATTTGAAACCTAGTAGATCTGCTTTAACTATTAAAGGATATTTTTTTAAGCAAGCTTATTTGTAGGTTGTGCTAGGGATGCAAAATCTATGATGACCAACATTTCATTAATTCATTAAAAAAAAGTAATTTGATAACTATTGAAAGATAAAACATTACAGCTCCCATTAAAGAAAATGCAAATGAATCTCAGACAGGAAGAATAGACTCGATCATTAGAATTAGTACCTTGGACTGCTTGACCTCTTTCTTCATATCTTCAGAAGCAAAAGCTGGAAAAAAAGGAAATATTTTCACATTAAAATTAGCAATTAAGATTCATTCTCACATTCAACAGTTTTGCTTAAATACTGTTGCTTGATACTTTAACAAGACATATTTTGCTCATTTCTAAAAACAGCTGCACTGCTGCAAACTAGTACCAGTGGCCGCCTTCATCTCCGGACCTAAAATTATTCATCAGCGCTAAGCTGACATGCTTAGGCTACCAAGCCACAGAAATCAGTCTGTGTATACCACTCCTGTCTACAGATAAAAACCACAAAGTAGATGCACACAGAATATAACTTCTTAGAAACCTCGATTCGGGTGCCTTCTTGAGCAAAGGGGAATTCCTGAGAATCCAGAGGGAAGAAGGACAAATTCCCACTGTCACAATCACCACCAGAGCCTGGTGGGCAACGGAGCTAAATCCGGAGCAAGCTTTCGGGTCTCGGGGGCTTCGAGGTTGGAAATGTGGTGCAGATACTGCTACCAGCACGCAGGAGAGAATTAACAAAACCACGCCAGAGCCAGGGAGCCAGGAGGGGGAGAGGAATTAAAATCATTCCCCATTTAGAATGATTTAATGTTTTGAGTGGGAGCCCAAAAATAGACAAAGATATCCCCAGAGATACATCTAGGCTCTACATTAATAATAATAATAATAATAATAATAATAATAATATGACAGTAACCCTCTGAAAATACAAAGCAAAATGATAAACCAAAGTCAGGAAGGTTAACCAGACAAAAGATAATACTTAATTTTACAGTGCATTTCTCCTGAAGAGGTAAAAGGAAAGTGTTTCATACTTTGTTTTCTCCAATTAGCATTCCCAGAAGAAAATGGGCAATGCCATAGAGCGACAATGTACCGAACAGTGCACAGGCAAGTCCACAGAGCAATAATGTAGCACGAGGAGCACCGGTGGTAGGGCTCCCTGGGTAACAGAGAAGACCTACTCAGAAGCAGCAGACAACCGCGCCCATTCGGATACCTCTGATTTCAAAGACATCCACTGCCTCAAATTCTCTCTCCATTAACATTTGCTCAGAGGAAATAATTGAAAACATATTCACACTAAGAAGCAAATGACTAACATGGTTTAATCATTTCCATTTCAGAAGGACATTTCAGAAAGCAGGGTGAAATTGAAACGTAAGGCAAATGAACCTCTGTGTGTGGAACTGAGATAACGACAGGTATTACATGAGGCCTCCCTGAGACCACCTCACATAAACAGTAAATCCCCAACTCCACTCACTCCCCACCCCCTCACTCTGCTTTATTTTTCTCCAGAGCACTTACCACCACTGACATAATATATATTTACTTGTTTATTGCTTGTCTTATATATTAGTTTACTGTAAACTCCATGAAGGCAAGAATGTGGTTTTATTTACTGTTTGCCCCTGAACCTAGACCACACCCAGCACACAAAAGAATGTCAACAAATATTTATCAAATAAATGAATGAATGAATGAATGAATGCAAGTCCTCACGATGGCTCTGGGATCACATCATGTAAGGGCTGTCTACTCTCCACTCTAAGCAGCATCAACCTAGTAGATGAAGGAGTTTAGTGCCTCCCCCAACTTATTTTCACTAGGATCTGATCTACTTTCTCACTTTTACACACACACACACACACACACACACACGCACCAAAGCAAATGCAAAGCTCAAATCATTCATTAAGTTCTAAAAAGAAAGAAGAGGGCCGGCCCCGTGGCTTAGCGGTTAAGTGCGTGCGCTCCGCTGCCGGCGGCCCGGGTTCGGATCCCGGGTGCGCACGGAGGCACCACTCCTCCAGCCATGCTGAGGCCGCGTCCCACATACAGCAACTGGAAGGATGTGCAGCTATGACAGACAACTATGTACTGGGGCTTTGGGGGAAAAATAAATAAATAAAATCTTAAAAAAATAAAAATAAAAAGAAAGAAGAGATTTAACACCAAACACCACTTAAATTCTGCTTCTGGGTAGTCATGCCCCGAATAAGGACATTTTGGTCAACGACGGACCACATATACTTAAGGGTATTATGCTAAGTGGTCCCATAAGATTAGTATCATACAGCCTAGGTGTGTGGTAGGCTGTACCATCTAGGTTTGCGTAAGTACATTCTATGATGTTCGCACATCAGAACAACCAAATATCCTAAGGACACATTTCTCAGAATGTATCCCGTTGTTAAGCAATGCATGACTGTACTTAATTTTTTGGTTTTGTTTTATTTTATTTACCTCCAAGCTAGTATGCACATTTAAACCCCTCAAGAAGATATCAAAAATAAATTAATAAACATCATACAGGTAAGTCACAACATGTTAACATTACTCTACAGAATTCCAGAAAATAGAACAACTTGCAGGATATAAAAACTGTGGTCAATCTAACAATAACTTTGATTCCAAACTCCATCGCCACCAATCCCATCAATTCCTAATTCCAAATACAGACAGTCAAAGCCCTCTGGGTTAGAATTTCCCCTTCTATGAAGAAAAATAACCTCAATTTCCCACGTTCAGTGACTCATCATCTAATACCCAGCATTTAGTCTTAGCTCACTTTTTTGCAAGGCCAGATGGCTATGTGGAAAGGAAGAGAACAACAGCACAAAAGCCCCCGGCCATTGAGAATGCAGATTCCACACTGAAGAAAAAGCGTCTTTATTTGGTATCAGTTCTGAAAATTACTAATGTATCAACTTTCATAAAAAAGCAGCTAATATTATTTGACAAATTGCTGTTTAAAGGAGGAATTACCTAGAAGGAAGATGTTGCCATTAAATCAATGGTGCTGGGAAAACTGGACAGCCACATGCAAAAGAATGAAAGTAGACCATTATCTTACACCACACACAAAAATTAACTCCAAATGGATTAAAGACTTGAATGTAAGACCTGAAACCACGAAACTTCTAGAAGAAAACATAGGCAGTACGCTCTTCAACATCGGTCTTAGCAGCATATTTTCAAATACCAAGTCTGACCCAGCAAGGGAAACAATAGACAAAAAAAACAAATGGGACTACATCAAACTAAAAAGCTTCTGCACAGCAAAGGAAACCATCAACAAAATGAAAAGATAATCTAACAACTGGGAGAAGATATTTGCAAACCATATATCTGATAAGGGGTTAATATCCAAAATATATAAAGAACTCATATATCTCCATAACAAAAAAACTAACAACCCAATTAAAAAATGGGCAAATGATCTGAACAGACATTTCTCCAAAGATACACAGATGACCAACAGGCACATGGAAAGATGTTCAACATCATTAACTATCAGGGAAATGCAAATCAAAACTATAATGAGATATCACCTCACGCCGGTCAGAATGGCTATAATTAACAAGCCAGGAAGCAACAAGTGTTGGAGAGGATGTGGAGAGAAGGGAACTCTCGTACAATGCTGGTGGGAGTGCAAACTGGTGCAGCCACTACAGAAAACAGTATGGAGATTCCTCAAAAAATTAAGAATAGAACTACCATACAATCCAGCTATTCCACTGCTGGGTATTTATCCAAAGAACATGAAAACACAAACGCGTAAAAATACATGCACCTCTGTGTTCATTGCAGCATTATGCACAATAGCCAAGACTTGCAAGCAACCTAGGTGTCCATCAAAGGACAAATGGATAAAGATGTGATATATAAACACAATGGAATACTACTTTGCCATAACAAACGATGAAATCCAGCCATTTGTGACAACATGGATGGACCTTAAGGGTATTATGCTAAGCAAAATAAGTCAGAGAGAGAAAGTCAAACACTGTATGATCTCACTCATAAGTAGTGTTACCGAACCAGGTTCGTTTTGCCCGCCACCCAGAAAGCCAATCACTGAGACGACAAGATTGCAGAGAGAGAGGGTTTCATCACAAGGCAGCCACGTGAGGAAATGGGAGAATGTCTCTCAAATACGTGTTCCCAAAAATAGGGACTCAGGGATATCTATCTGGAAGGAGGCAAAGTGAAGGAGGCAAGGTGGTCTGAAATGTGGAGACAGATGATGGGAGGTGAGGAGAGGTAAGGTAATTGATGATCTGTGCAAGCATAGTCAGGTTTCATGCCTCTTCATGGGACACATGTTCATGAAATGGCGGTGTTGGCATGACCCAAGGGTGGAGTTTTTAGCCTCTTGACGACAAAAGGTCACTTATCGGACATCTTCCAGGGCCCAGTTGATGAGTGGGTGGTCCCAACCGGCCTGAAGTGGACAAGGGATTCTAATTCCTGAAAAACAGCTCAAACACCCATTACCATGGTGACCCAGGCTTCAAGGAGATGTTATCTATAGGAATCTAGTGGGAGTCAAGATAGCATATTGCCTAAACAGCACAGTGAACAATGGGCAGGTAAACAGCTAAAAGCTATAGCCAGTAATTGCAAAAAGGAAAAAAACTTTAGTCTTTAGTCCTAGCTACTTAATCATCAATGGCCAACTTTTTGCGAGTTTCAGTAGAAGATAAAAACAACAACAATCACATAGAGACAGAGATTGGATTGGTGGTTACCAGAGGGGAAGGGAGGAGGGAGGAGTGAGGAGGGAGAAAGGGATGATTAGGCACACATGTGTGGTGATGGACTATAACTAGTCTTTGCGTGGTGAACATGATGTAATCTATACAAAAATCGAAATACAATCATGTACACCTGAAATTTACCTAATGTTATAAACCACTGTTACTGCAATAAAAAATAAATAAAATCAAGTGAATCCTACAAATCCTGCTGGTCATAATCAAGACACCATATCTTTACTCAGACAAGGCTTAATTGAGGTAAGGGTAAACTAGATTTTAGTTCCCTCCAAAACACACAGGACTAGAGTTAAAATATCTTCAAAAAAAAAAAAGCTGTCATTTCTCCCCATCACTCTGCTGGGAAATTAAGAACAACTTTTTCCCATGATAGAAATAAATTATATAATATTTAAAGCAATAACATAAAAAATGCATCAGAGTTACTTTCAGGCATAAGAGCAAATCAC